ATACTATATATATAGTATATATATATATATATATATATATATATATATATATATATATATATATATATATATATATATATATATATATATATATAAAGATACATAATATGTATGGATGTTTGGGTGCGGTTTTTGTGCTCATTCATAGATTTTGGTGTATATTTATCTGCAAATTTTTACATAGTCATATATTACAATACATAGTTACATACATATAAATAGGACTCAGAGCACAGTTTTATAAAACACTTGCATTTGAGATTGGACTTATTAAATTGCATTTGGCATGATACTTGTGACTTGTATAACAAATATCATTTTACACGGTATTTACCACTTACAATGGATCTTGAATTGAAGCCATAAACTCCAGAGGTGCCTCGGCGATGGACCCACCAACTATTTCATCCGCTTGTATATCATCATAATTCACAACTTCATCTTGACCATTCACCAACATGGCGGCTGATAGCACAAAGGCCGCCACCGCTATCCTTCTTAAAATGCTCATTGCAGCTAGGTGTATACTTAACATTGACTGTTATGTGTTCTGTCTGATAACCTAGATTATGTCCGGGATAGTGTAACAATATAATATATATAACTTTTTTTTAAACAGAGTATACGTTGTGTACCGTGTAGCATGTATTTACATACAATCATACATCGTAGAGACGGAGAGATACATATTTACATATTTACTCTCGTGTGTAATAGTTGATATACACAGATTTTTACCAATACTACCGAGTACACACAGACTACTCACTCCTCACTACACTCTCATTGACATAAAGCGAAATACAAAACTCTGCTCCGGGGAGTGCAAAACACTCTGGGGGAAATTAGGACTTTTACGACCCGAACTTGTGCCGTATATATTTCATATTCTAAATAGGTCCTGATGAATTTCTCATACCAAACGATGGTGATCACGTATTTAATTTGGTAAGATATTAATAATGAAACCCAATGTCGCAAATATGATACACTTTAAATGGAAATCATTTGGGTCAATGATGATTAGCGAATAACATTGAATACACAATTTTGGAAACGGTAATGTGATTGGCGTATTTCACGTGGAGTCTACTTTCTAGAGCAATCAGCTATTTCCCCGAATTGAGGAAGCCGCCACGGCGCCACAGTCCACACTCCACAGGCTACACTCTACACCCGAGTCCTGATTCCTGAAGTCTGAACTCCTGACGCTGCCCCACTGGCCTCACACCCAGACTCCCAGTCCTCCAGGGCCCCACAGCCTCCACATCCTCACAACATCGCAAGAGAGTGGCGGCTGCAGGGGCTTCGAGGAAATCTCAGACCTCAAATCGTGAATATCTTCGTGGTGACGCCCGACGGTATTGTGAATTCCAGTTTTAGTGTTGTAGAATGTAGACGCTCGGGTCCGCATGTAAAAAGACTCATCGGCAAGTACAAAGGCCCGAGGTACATGCGAATACGACCAGCCATTTGCACATTCAGAAACCTCTCGAGTATATGTGAAAGGGTCATACACCAATGAAGAATATTCGGTGAAAATAAACTCAAATATCACACGAATATTGAGGGGATGTATGCGTTCATAGACATAAGCGTTGAGTAGAACCTTGCAACTCGAAACAACACTTAGATAAGCGCGGATTATATATATCTAGATCACACAAGTACATGTTTAGATACGTATAATATTAATATATATATATATATATATATATATATATATATATAAGTATATACATATAAACATATATGCATATATATTTACTATATATATACGTATATACATACATATATACATACATACATACACACACACACACACACATATATATATATATATATATATATATATAAATATATATATATGTATGTATGTATGTATGTATGGATATGTATGTATGTAAGTATGTATATATGCATATATATAGATATATATATATATATATATATTACATCTATACATATATATATATGAATATACATATAGATACATACAAACATACATACTTATACATACATACATACATATATATATATATATATAGATATAAATATATGAACTATGTATAAAAATCTGATCTATTTTGAATCTATGTTAGAAAACCAGGGTACAACTGATGAAAGTGAACAGCCAAGGGCCAAATAATTGATTGTTTAATATCTAATTGGTTACAACCGATGAAAGTTGACAGCCAAGGACCGAACAATTGGTTATTTAATATGTTATTCCGCCAACAGTGCGATAATTTATAAATCCATGAAGATCAGGCATTTTTGAAGTCGAAATATAATCGAGAACAGGGACTGACTTTAGTACTAATTAAAAAGGCCATAGCTACCGATTTTTGAATCCATATTTTTTCCGCTCGTAGAAGAGATCCGTTTTAGAGCTTCCCAGATTCACAATTTTCGGGCATCCATCTCGCTGTTTAGTGTAAACAAAATTACCGTTAAAACCACGTCGGGTCGAACTTCCCTGGCAAACAACCAGGACAAGTATCAAAGGTACATCGCCAATATTAGTATATACATCATGGTGTATGAACGACATTAAATAGCAGAGTACCACCAAGCTCACAATCTCTACACAGCAGTGGGTGAGTATACTTGTGTAAATGGCCGAGAGATTAGGTCCATTAGAGCTAAATACATACAGAGGGGCATTAAACGGTATAACAACCACTGAGCATCATCAATAAAAATTGGCTGCACCAACTAACAGTTGTCACGAATACTTGAAGGATGAGAAAGGCGGATTTAATAATGCAAATTGAACAAAAGCACGTTCTAGATATTTCGTCAATGCTTCACTACGTAGGTAGCGCCTGAAGTCTCTATTTACAAGATATACACTCGCTTATTCGACAGAAGCAATAAACTATGGGATTGGCATCCGACACATTCACAGTTATTGAAATTTGATCAACACAAAACGAAGTGCGTTTATACAGCATTCGCGCGATGCAGAGCAAAATACATAAATACACATATGAACGCGCACATGTAGAGGTTTACTTACGTCCTTTTCTTGTATCGTGCATTCTTTACAATAATAAGCATCAGACACCCCCGGACCTCCGCAGATCACACAACGGCCCTGGTATGACCCGTAGTTGCACTCGTCGCATATACGCACGAGCGTAGCTGGACGCACATATGAGTCACACACTACGCATTTGCCGTCATCTTTTTCGCACAAACGTCCAATGGCTTTGAAAAAATAAGGAACAAAGTTAGGGCGTGAGAAGAAAAAAGGAACAACCGCTCTAATTAGTATATATATATATCTATATATTGACATATATATATATATATATGTATGTATATATATTTACATATACATATATATATTATGATTATATATATATATATATATATAATAATAATATATATATATAGTATATATATATAATAATATATATAT